GGGGCTCTGCGGAACATCTGCCAGCGGCCCGGCCCCCGCCGCCAGCCCGCCAGGACATCTTGTTTGTGTTTTTGAGCGGAGCACACTCCCAGCGGGTTATGTCAGAGGTGAGGAATGCAGGGCCACCCTGTGTCATGAGATCAGCCTCACATTTTTAGGCCCGGCTCTTACCGTATTTGCTGGGAAGCGGCGCGGGGCCCCGCAGGGGTGGGAGATTCCCCCCTTCGCCCGCATGCCGCTTTTCCAGCCCTCGCTCCAGCGGAGCCGGGTGGGGCGGATGGGGCCCGTCTGCTGGAACAAGCTCTCCCTCTGTTCCTCGCAAGGAGCAAGAAAGGAAACGCAGTGAATTAAGGCGAATGAAAAGGCGGCAGTGAAAGGCGGCCGGGCGCGGTGCCAAGCGCAGGGAGGGAGATGGTGGCGAGCTGCTCTCTGCCGCCGGGAAAAGCATCGGCACCCGGGGCTGCCCCACCGGGAAACTCATCCAGACACCCCAGAAACATCCCCGTGCCTGGGCTGGAAGCGTGAGGAGCCACATGAACCGCCCAGGGCAGCGAGGAGCTGGGCTTGGAGCCCTTGGAGTGAAAGCACTTTGACCCAAACACCGCCCAGAGCAGCGGCTTTCCCCCAGGTCTGTTCCTTGGGTCCAACACTTATGTTCAACCTTTCTGAAATTTCTGGGCTTCCTTGAGTCCTGCTCAAGCAAAGCTGGTGCAAAACAGCTCTGCTTATGTCACACAGGGTGGCTGCACTGCTCATTCCCAAGTTTTCCTGCTTAAAACTTGGAGGCTCCTTTGCAGCTCTGCATCCCACCAAGGGTGGAAAGAGGGAAGACGCTTTGATCCTGGTGCCACTGCAGAGAAAACCCACCCAGGCAGAGTCAGACCCTGGCACAGGAAAGGCTTCTCTTCTCTGTTCTAGTGTGGCTTTTATTTTCTTTTAATTCTTTCTTTTCCCCCCTTTTTAAAATTTTTCCTGCAATAGCTACAACAGTAGATCTTGAGGTTGAAAAGCCCAAAACACTTCCACAGACCATGTCCAAAATGCCACTGCTTGATAATTTTGGTTTGTTTGGTTTGGTTTTTTTAGTGGCTGGTGTTTGTTGTTGTTGCTGTTGTTGTTGTTCTGTTTTGCCCTGCAGAGGGTTTTGCCGTGGTGGTGTTTTGTTATGTGTCAGAAGGAAAACAAATCCTGAAATACCAAAGTCTTTGACACAATGGTCTCTCTCTAAACATCCCTGTGAGCTGGGCCTCTTGCAGCTCTCGACTCTTCCCAGAACAGGAGAACAAATACTAGGAAATCTGGAGGGGTGAACTGCAGGATGAGCTGCAGGGAGCTGGCAGCACCAGCTCCACATCATTCCATGTCTCCAGTGCTGCCTGCTCCCCACCTGGGGGAGGCAGGTGAAACCTCCAGGAAGTGCTGATGGCTCCTGTCCTACTGGGAGCTTTCTGCTGAGCACTTCAGTCTCCTTTTTGTGTCCCTGTGAGGCATAACAGGATAATTTCAAGTCCTCATCTCTTACCCTCTGGCATCTCCCAGACTTCTTTGGTCACTCTACCATAGTCCCAAAAGTCTGTTTGGGAAAATCTCCCTTTTCTGGCATGAAAATGAAAATGTTGATTTTAAGTCCTCTCTAGACTTGTGGTGCTGTGGAAGCACCAGAGTGTCTTGAGGAAATGAGAGAGGTGACCAGCAGGGACAGAAGGGACTAGCAGAGAGCTCCAGAGGGACCTTCAGACCCAGAACCCTCCCTGATCACCCACTAAACACAGAGGTGATGTATTGAGAGCAAGGGCCTGGTTGCTGCCTCATAAAAATAAGGGGGGAGAAGTGATGGTGTGGGAAAATGAGGCTTGTTTAATGATTTAGGACATTATCTTCTTTTTCTTCCCACTCTCTTTGTCTGCCTTGCCCTTCATAAAGTTGTGCTTTGATAAGATTTTCTTTTTTATCATCTGGGGTGGAGATTTCAGTTCTTTTTTCCTGGATTGAACAAGGAAGAAAAATGGGGCATCATGCAGCATTTAGCAACAGCCTTGGACACTGAACCAGGGCCAGGTAAGACCTGGAAAAGGGGTTGCAGGTCTACCTTGGCTGATTCAGAAGACTTCAAATGACACAAAATAAGGATCTTGGCTTTCATTAGATTTTTCAGCTGCCTGAAATGCTTTAAGAAACAAAAATCTTCAGTAGCAGTGATCATATATATATATATATATATATATATATATATATATTTAGATTTTATATAAGTTCAGTTCTACTGCAGTGAACTCATTTGCTTCTGCTATGCTCCTTCAGTTTAGGGGAAAAACACTGACATTGCTTAGCAACCTTTAAATCATTTTGGTAGAGCACAATAATGTGGGAAGGACGAAGCTGATGTCTGTTCCCCTGCCCCAGGTTACTTGATCTCCCAAATATTAACTTATCTAACCTTATTATTTGCTTCTAATCATTACTGTTTTCTGAATTGCAGTTGAGCATCCTGAAATCATAGAATATCTCAGGTTGGAAGGGTCCCAGAACGATCCTAGAATGGTTTGGGTTGGAAGGACCTCAAAGATCTTTGTGTTCCAACCCCTGCCATGGCAGGGACGTCTTCCACTGTCCCAGGATGCTCCCAGCTCCCAACCTGGCCTTGGGCACTTCCAGGGATCCAGGGGCAGCCACAGCTTCTCTGGGCACCCTGTGCCAGGCCCTCAGCACCCTAAAAGTGAAAAATAACAAAGATCAACAACTCCAACTCCCTGCTCCTTGCAGGACTGCTATAAACGTGCCTTGCTTGACTTTGGTGTTGGGTTTTCACTGCCTCTGCAGCGTGGCAAAGCACCAGGCTCTCTGGGGAGATCCCACAGCACAGGGCAGCAAAATCTCCATCTGACCGAGGCAAGCAGCTGCTTTGGCTTGCTGCAGCTCAGCAGTGGGATGTGTTGTGCCTGCCAAAGCAGATACTGAAGGTTCTTTCTTTCCTAATTGTCACTTTGTCTGTGACTGCTTCGAACACAGAACCAAGGAGCAAGGAAAGAACAGTGCTTCCCCTGTCAGGGATGGGGTGGAAAAGGCAGAAAAAAAAAAAAAACTGAAGGAAGAATGTGGTGAAAAGCACCACAACATCCAGAGGCTTGACTCTGATTTGCTTGAAGCAGTGTAAACAAGCAGGTTACAAAACTTGGAGCTCTGACTGGTGCTGGCACCAGAAAAACAAGGAAAACATGATTTAGACCAATTATACTGCAGAAAATACATGATATTTTCAAGACACCTAAAGCCATCAGTATCAGAACAGTGCAATAATTTGAGTTTTAGGGCCAGATGTAAACACCAGGGCTACAAGACTCAGATACTGAACCTGATATAAAGTGACTGTTGTATTGTTTCTAAAGATTTTGCACTCTTTGAAAGATTACCTACCATAAGATCCCTCTGCTCCTCCTCTAACCTCCGTGCTGGGATGCCTGGAGCTGGCCCAGGCTCATCTTCCCCAAATTCTTTACCCATCCTTCTGCTCTCTGTGCTCCAAATCTCAAAATAACTGTGGCACTCCATGCAAACTGTCTTGAGTTTGCCCTTTTCTGCTGGACACTCACCCAACCTTGCCCGACCTATGGCCATATTTCCCCATTCTTTGTGACCTACATCCATAACAAAGCTCTCTGCTCATAATCAGGGCAGGACTGCCCTGGCTTGTGCTCCTTCCTATGAAACTCACTGGAAGAACATCCCACATACTGGACTTCTGAGCAACTCAACTCACCTACACAAAGAAAAATGAGGCAGAGCTGGTAGGTGTGAGCAAAGGGCCCAGGTCAGCCCCTGTGGAGAAATAGGACAGGACTTGCAGGAAGATCTTGTTCCTTGATGTTCTCCAGGTTCCCACTGGGAGCCAGGCAGAGCTTCCTGGCTTTCATGGATTCAGCTCTCGGTCCCTCCAGGCCACCTCTCCACTGGTCCATCTCCATCTGGTGTCTCCCCATCCCATGATCAAGCAGGTTGTCCTGCTTCCACCCTAGTTCCTACAGAACAGGGAGAGAGCCCCAGAAGTCCATGGTGGTTTTTGTTCTCCTGAACTATGGTTCATTGCTCCAGCCTTTTATGCTTTTATATCCTTCAGGGGAAAAGCAACAATCAGTACAATGGTCCATCTTCCTTTACTAACCCAGCACACACTTCAGCTGCCCCACCCTTCCCAGGAGGGTGGAGAGCTGGGGGATGGGAAGACACCTGAGAAATGATCAGTGGTGCTCCTGCTCCAGTAGGAGGTTTCAGGCAGCCTCAGCATGGTGATTTCATCCCCTTCAGCAGGCCCTTTGCCAGACACATCCTGTCCAGCTTGTGCTGGACAGACTGGCCATGGGGAGAGTCAGTGGCAGCCAAGTCCAAATGGCCAAGACCAGTCTCTTTCCAGTGCTCAGGAGCTGATTCATGTTTTGCTTTTCTGCCCCACCCAGTCTAGAGTGAGTTCGGCACATCCCTCTGAGCTTCACTTTCCTGCTTGCAAGGCTCTCCCTCCTCCAGAGATCTTCCCACATTCGTGGCCCAACCCAGCCACCACCAACTCTCTCTCTTTTCCTGGACTGGACACCAGGGCAGCAGCCAGGAGCTCGCTGGCTTTGATTCATTCTCCTCTAGGAAAAAAGCTGCTGATCCTGCTGCTGATGCTTCCTCTTGACTGTCTGGCCCAGCACAAAGAGTTGGTGTTCATCTCCACCCCTGTCTCGAGGGGAAAGGCCACTTCTGAGAGCCACTGTCCCTACACGGCACTGCTGAACTTGGAATATGGGAAGAGGGGAAAAAACATAAGCTTGGGAGCATGGGAACACATCCCTATCCCACCAGCTTTGTGCCACCAGGCAATGCTCAGGTTTGGTGTGTTAAGAATCAAAACCTGATGGTTTCCCCCAGGACTCAGGCTCCTGAATGATGCAAGCATTTGTCGTCTCTCTCCTTAAATAACTACAGAGCAGAGCCAAATGGGTTTTCTCTCCAACAGATGGGCTGCTGACAGGTGCTGCTGGAGGCTGAGAGATGGAAAAGCAAGGATGCTCTGATATGGTCTGTCACTAGCTTGAAGAGAAAAAAAGCAGGTGAGATCTGGTCTCCTTGTTCTGCCATGTTATTCAGATGCTGTAGAAGTATAAAACCACAATATTATTGTGCTAGGAAAATACTATTTCCTTGTCTTAAAGGCAGGGAATGGAATATGTCCTAAAGATGGAAGACTGGGATATGTCCTTTGGGACAAGGAGGATCTGCTTCCATAACACAGGTCCCAGAATAAGCAGGGTTCTGTCAGAATGGCATTGTGTAAAATAACAGAAAACAAAAGCCTTTCTTTGTCCCTAAATAAGTAATTTCTATTCTTCCTTTGTGGTTCACTCTTAAAGGCTGGCTGAATCCAGGGAGGATGTGGTCACACTCGTTGGAAACTCCAGATGCTACAACATAAAAACACAAATCTGCATTAAACCCACATTTTTAATGAGTTAAATCTCATGTGCTTTCACTCTATTTTTCTCACAGGGTGATGGCAGGCTGCTGCAGTTTTCATGTCCCTTGGAGAGCATTTGCCCAGTTCCTCAGAAATCTCCCCCTTGATTTTTTTTGACAGGATAAAGTCTTTTGTTATTTACTGATGTCACTGTAGCCTAGGAGAGAAATCAACAGAGTCATGAATTATAGACTATGCTTGTAGGACTTTTCACTTTGTTTGATTTAGTGTGAACAAATTCCAGATAATTAGAGATGAGTTCAAGTTACAACACTTCACTTCTGTCTTCTGAGTTGCCCTAAGTGGTGAGGAGTGTCTGGGTTGAGTATTTTCACAGGGGTCATTGGAAAGGTGAAATCCTTCTGCGTGTCTCAGTTTTGAAGAAGCTTAATATTACAGCAATGCATCCGTGTCTCCACTCAGGAAACACATCAGACTTTGAAAAAAAACCCCTCAGAATCCACAGGGTGAAAACATCACATGGTGCTGTGTGGGTTTTCTTCAGCTTTAGCTGTGGCATCCTCCAAGTGGTTCTTCACCTGCAGGTCATTTCCATCCCAGCTAGAAACTCCTGCTGCTGAGCACTTGAGGGATAAGGAAAGAAGCATCTTGACTTGGGCTTTTGAGATCTGGGACTGCTTGGAAATAAAATGTACCATCTCTGCAAAGCTTTCCACCAGCATCCTCATTTTGTGCGTAGAAAAGCAATTCCAGCCTTCCATTCAAATTAAAAAAACAAAACCAAAAAAACAAACAACCAAAAAATTAAAGGGGTATAGGAAGAGGCTGGGGTCTTGCTTTCTCCTTGAACAACAAAACCCATGTCTCAAAGCAAAACCAAAGTCACTTCATCATGATTTTGGAAGATGATGTACAGTGCTGTGGTACAACAGCAAGGGGAGGGTGTCCCTGAGCATGCAGCCACCTCGGGGCACAATTAGAAGAGTTTTCCATCTGAATGCTCTGTTTATTATAAATAACCAAGGTTTTAATCATAACTCACTGCCTGCTGGAAGTCCTTTGGTAATGCCTTCTGTGGGCACTGGAATCTGAGGAGGAAAAGGATATTTGGTTATGTGATGGACTCTTTCAGGAGGACTGGGTTCAGTTCTCTCCATGTCCATAATTTGGAAAGTCTGGGTGGCCTTTGGCAAGGTCCTCTTCATACACCCAACTACAGCACCAAACACACACCTTAAGATAGTCAGGAATAGGTGATGCACTCCTGCCTACCCTTGGAGTTTATAGCTCTAATTGTTGGTTACAAGTCTGGAAAAATTAGGCCAATATGTGGACATTGGGCCTGGAGGATGCCTCAGCTCAGGTTTTGAAGGTTTAGCTTATGATTTTTAATTCCTGGACATTACAGGGGTAATTGCTTGGTTTGCTTGCAGTCTGATGAACTCCATGGTTTCCAGCCAAGCACTTGACCCAGAGAATCAAGCCAATAATTGTGTGACTCACCAGGAAAAATCAGCAACAAGAACAATAAAAAATCCTTGGAAACATGAGTGGACTCCATTACCCTGTGAAACACCACAATGGCACAGTCACTTATGGAGCAGCACTTTTACCACCTGGGAGGAAAGGAGGCATGGACCTTCTTTGGATGTGAAAGTAAAACTGCTTATTTCTGTCTCTTCAGGAGAAGATGGGACAAGGATGGCATCAAAAAACTAAAACCAGAGAAGGAACAGAATGAATATTTAGGAAAAAAATTGCAGGATCTGGCAAAATATTTTCTCTTTATATCCTTCCTCAGGGTAATGGTTATTCACCACCTGGATGGCACTGGTGGTTGTGACTCCTCTCAGGATGTAAATCACAGAGTCAGAGGCTGGTTTGGGTTGGGAGGGACCATAAAGATCATCCAGTTCCAACTCCCCCATGCATAGGAAGAGCAGCTGTAATGCACATGTGATGGGCTGAATGGACAGCTCAGTCCCTGGGGTAGTGTCTGGTGACGGGTGGCTTTGATGAGGCTTACAGGAAAGCCACTCATGGGGGAGAGAAGCACTTAGGGTCCCAGCTGGTTCATGTTTTACATGCAGTCGTAAAAAAAAATCAAACAATCGTTTAGCATGCAATAAGAGGATGGAGGAAGGGTTTTTTAAACCAGAGTCACAGCAGGTTATGGCCAGTACTGATTCATTCCTTGCTGTCATGGTCAGAGGTCCCCTCTGATGCACGGGGGGACTCTCCTATCCTGTGCTGATGTGACCTGGAAACCCCTGTGGTCTTGGAGTTCCCCTGGCTCCAGGCCCATGCAGGGGGGTGAAGGCACTGATTGCTGTTCAGCATCCTGTCCCACCAGAGACTGGATGGAAAATATTGATTTCCCTTCAGAGGAGGCACATTCAGACATGCTTTTATGGAGGGCTTGTTTCTCCTTGGAGACAAAGAGAATGCAAAGAAAAAGCCCCTTTCCCTGTCATGCTGAAGGCTCTAGGAACTGATAACACAAGGCTCTATAACATGCAAGATCTTGGTTTCCCTACACCAGACCACAATACAGACTCCTGGCTACTTTGTCAACCATAGAACCACCAAACATTAAATTAAATGCTGTCTCCACCAAGATGCTGACAGTCCCAAGGTGACATCTCTTGCTGCTCTTTCAAATTCAGGGTTCCCCCATTGCATGGAATGATTGACATCTGATTCCATGATTCAGAATGCTGAACAATTGCTTTATTAAACTATATTATATTACATTATATTATTACATTATACTATACTATATTAAAGAGATACTATACTAAAGAATACTAAAAGGATCCTATACAAAAGATACTAAAGAAAAACCCGTGACTGTCTGAGCCAGCCAGGACAGCTTTGACCCAATTGCCTAAGGAAAGAAAATAATCCTCAGCAGAATCCAGTTGTCAAATCCCTTCAGGTAAACAATCCTCCTAACACATTCCACATGTGCAAAAACAACAGGAGCAGCAAGTAGAGATAAGAATTTTCTCTTCTTCTCTCTGTGCTTCCCTAGGAAAAATCCAGGGAGAGAAAATGATGTCTCTCTCTGTTCAGAGAGTGTGAATGCCACACTGCTCCTTCTACAAAATGCCACATCCTCTCTGGGGGTGTTTTCAGGCTCAGGTGCCCTTTCAGACCTGAGCTTCATGGCTGGGAAGAAGCCCCCTGGGATCAGCTGCAGAGGCAGAAGGAAATATGACTAAGGAGACACGAGGTGTTTGACCTGGTGACAGCAGTAACTGGCTCAGATTTGTTGGCTCGTGGATGGTGTTGGAGGGATGTGAGAGCACCACCAGCCCTGAGGTGCCACATTTTTCTGCGCATGGATGCAGTGACTGCCCTTTGGAAGGAGATTATTAATCTTTGCCATGTCATTGCTTTGAGCAATGGATAAGTGAAAGACCTGTTCTGCAGCACCTAGAGAGGAAGCCCAAAGAGCTGGCTCCTCCAAGAACAACCCACACCCACCCACCTGAAGGACAGAGACTTCTCTCTAGAATTTCACTGCCACTTGGGAGCCTTGAGGTTGAAAGCTCCTCCATGGCACATACTTGGAGGAACACTTCATCTTCCCTGGCTGTAAGAATTTGTCTTGACTAAAGATTTTCAATTAAAAGTCAAGACTGAATTGTTGCAAAGTGCTGCAGACAAGAGTCATTAATACTGGAATGCAAGTTTTAAATAATTTTTAATATGCTCTGCAAGACATCCATAAAAGGCCCTTAATCAATATGCACTTCAATTCCTTGCATTAGGGTTTGAGGAATTTAAATTCATGGCAGGGGAAGGGTTGAGAAATCATAATGAATTTCCATCAGAGCTCTTACACAGCCGGACCTGGGAGATCATCAGGGTCCAAGCTGTTGGGAGGCTGTGACCAAATGGATCAGACTTTTTTGGTGGTCCCAGTCCATGGAGAATGGGTGTTGTGGCTTGTCATTGATATGGAAGCAAATTTTTGAGTCCCTGTTGATGACAGCAGCTGTGATTTTGCTTGGCCATTTCAGCCAATATCAAACATTCACTGGCACTACTGGAAGTTTAAGCATTCCCTGACCATCCCCTGGTGAGAAGAGCAGAGAGGATGAGGATGGGCTGAGCTGTAGACATTAGGGCTGCAGGTGCTCCTTCTTGGGGACCCCAAATCTTCACATGCAGCATTCCCATGCCCTCACAGATTTGATAATTCTCTTCCTGCACCCCTGCAGGGTTAGTTTTGTGGTTGGTGCACAAGCAAAGCAAGCTGATACTCCAGCTTCCCACTGCCATCATCTCACAGCAGGAGCATGGAGAGGCACAGGCTTTCCCAAGGTTAGGAGGACCAAGATAATCCAACCCATCCGAGAAGACACTGTGGCAATGCAGGTTTGAAGCTAAGCCTGAGCTCAAGCATTTGGCTGGATCCGGGCCAGAGGTGCAGAAAAGAAATTTCCAGTAAGGACAAACCTCTAGGAAGAACCAAACCCTAGAGGAAGCTCAGGGTGAGGTTTGTGCTTCCTATTTCAGTCTAAAAAAAGCCCTGTCCCAGGAGGGGGTGAGTTTCAGTAACATCCAGAGCGTCTCCCACACATGCACGCCAAATATTCCAATTCTTTGTATCCAGCACAGGGGTGATGGCAGTAAAGCATGTGGAAACTCCACATGCAGATGGACCCTCTGAACATCCTTCCCTGCAGGTAGCCCAGGGACAGAGCAGCATCACCCTTGGAATGGCTCACAGGAGGAGGGACACACTAAAAGGAGCAGAGGTGGTTGTTGCAGTCAGCTTGACCCCCAGAGATGATAACAGGGCCTAGAGATTTATCTGCATGCTCTGTGGCATGGGTTTGGATGAGGGCCAGGTATTTCTCTCACCATTTTTCCTTGGGGGAAGGCAGGAGCTGGGGGCTGTGCCCTAGGCATTTCTCTCACCGTTTCTTCTTGGGGAAAGGCAGGAGCTGGGGGCTGTGCCCTAGGAGCAGGCTGGATGCAGCCACACTGTTTCAAAGGCTTAAAAAATGCCGTCCTGTAGAGGAAAGCCAGGTGAAGCTATTTATTAGACTGCCTCAGGCCCTGCCTAGTTTACTGCCAGCCTAAAAATCCCCCAGTGCTGGGAAATCAGCTTGGACCTTGTGTGCACATCGCTGCAGCTCAGCCTCCGTTTGGAGGGTGCATCTGGCTGATTTTGCAACCCTGACGCTTGAAATGAGCTAGGGAAAAGCAGGCAGCCCTTTGGAGAGGGATAGGGGAAAATAAAAAAAGAAATAAAAACAGAAGGAAACCCAAAGCGCAGGCGGGAAGGAAGGGAAAGGCAGGATTTTGTCTCGGGAAGGCGTCGGAGCCTCTGAGGACTGTCCCCGCCGTCGTCTCGCATTGCGAAAGAGCCTTTGGCTCGGGAGCCCCTCGGTTTTCCAAGGGATGCCGGCACGGAACGCCTGTCCCGGGCGCTGCTCGCAGAGCGCAGCGGGGATGCCGGGGAGCCGGGGGGCCCCGCGCCGGGGCCGGGATGCGGCGGCGGCGGAGCGGGCTCGGAGCGGGGCCGCCTGCCATCTAGCGGCACCGGGAACCGGTCCCCTCCCTGCCCCGGCCGGGGGAACCCCGGACACAGCCCAGAGCCCTCCGGCACCCCCCGCCGTCCCTCTGCGTGCGCGGGAATCGCCTTCGGGTTCCGGGGTTCCGAGGGGGTTCTGCCAGCGGAGCTGGAGCATGTGCATGGAAAACGCGCCTGGAAATGCGGCGGAGCGTGAATGTGTCTGCGAACCGAGGAGCCGCGCCGGTCCAGCGGCCATGGACTCCTGCCTGGGGCTCTCTCCCTCTCCCCTTCCTGCACCTTTCCCCCCTCTCCTTACGCCTCTGCGAAGGGCTTCTCCTCCTTTCCCTCCATTTCTTTCCCTCCATTTCTTTCCCAAAAGAAATAACCCGCGGCAGGAGCAGGGCTCTGCCCCCCCCTCCATACCCTCACATTCACTGCAGGCTCCCTCCTGCCTCCCATTTGTGGTCTCGCTGCTCCCCCGCTGCTGCTGGTCCGCATGGAGAGCGGCGTGGGGGACACAGCCACGTTTCTTCTCTTCCTTCTCGTGTGTCTTTAACACCCCCAGATCTTTCAGGGATGCTGACACCTCTCTGTTTCTGCAGCCAGAAGTTTGGGAGCTGAAAGGGGGGACCTGAACCTCCCCTTCCTGCAAATTCCATCAGGCACTAAATCTCCCCTGTTTGCTGGGAGCTCCCCTTTACTTTGAGGGTGACAGTGCCCCATTTCATGCCCAGGGAAGGAAATGGAGATGGCTTTTCAAAGGGGATGGAGTAATGCACTTCCTAAATCCCATCCTGCCTCTTGGGGTCCTTTTGAGGGGTACAGAGCAGAAAACTAACATGGGCATATTCTAACGCGGACATGTTCTCACAGCCCCCACCAGGATGCTTATCAGGTGCAAAGAGGGGCAGAGCTGGGATCAGGTTTAAAAGGAGAGGGAAAACTGGGCCCTGGGCAGTTGGGAGATATCAGCCAGTGGTGATGCTGTGCCCAGGAGTCAAAGATGGTGCCAGCAATGGGTGCTCCTGGCAAAGCAGCACCAGGCGCACAGATCATCTCTGACGGAGTGGGTCAGAGCAGCCTGGCAGCACCCCAGAGCCCAAGAGCACGGGGATGATGGCACAGGGACACTGGGGCTGTGCCCACAGCCCCTCCATTGGCAGAGGATGCACAAAGCCCTTCCCACTGAAATCAGCTTGGAGGTGAGGTCCAACCAACCCACCCCAGATGTGACCCAGTTCTGGGGGTCCAGCTTGCTCATGGTCTCTCATGGCAGCTATGGCTGGGTGAAAGCCCTGCCTGATTTTCCTGCCATCCTGTGCAACCTAACAAGGATCCAGCAGTGTGCCTTGGATCTGAGGACTCCAAATCAACACTCTCCATCTTCAGCAGTGCCATCACAAAAGGGGCATTTGGGGGTTCCTTGTGTTCTCCCCACTCACCCACCTCTAACCTTGCTCCAAAAATGTGTTCACCCTCTTTTTCCTTCCTTGTTTTTTCTTCTTTTATTGCTTTGGTTTTTTATCTAAAAAAAAACCCAACACAACTTTAGAAGTTCAAGTTCAAGTTGACTGTACATCCTAGACCTTGTGCTAGCCCAGAGCCTGGGCAGTCAAATACATCATGAAGGATTTATTCACCAGGACAGCCTTGCTCCATTGCTGCTCTCAGCCAGATGTTTCTTGAAGTCCTTTGTGTGAAGTGCTGCACCCACAGTTAGTTGGGAATGGGCACGTAGGAGATCTTTTTGGCCCTTGTGTAGAGGTTGCCCCTTACCAGCTGCTGACAGTGCTGGGAACTGGTCCCAGGCATGTTTTTATTTGTTTTTCCAAGGAGAGGTCAGCAGCCTGTGCAAGGCAGGATTTTATCCAGGGGAAAAGGCTATAGGTACCAGTCTGGCCCATCTCCATCCTGCAGTGTGCTGCCCTGGGGACCAATCCTCTGCCACTGAGGAGGGGAGGAAACCTTCTAGGAGGAGGAAAAAAAGAGATTTCTGAGGAATGTTGTTACTTGGTACAGCTACCTTCAAGTGTAGCATAGGAGAATAGAGCTGCCCCATGTCACTGGGGTTTCCCATCTCCCAGGGTTCTGCCCATATTTCCTCTACCATCCCAGTTGGCTGGAATTCCTCATTCCTCTTCATGAGCCAGTTCCTTCCAAGGCTGATTCCACAATCTTCACATCTTAGCTCCATGACAAACTAGAAGGGGACTGCAGAGCCAGTCCTTACACTTTTATCAGCACAGGATTAATTAAAAAAGAATTCAGAAATAGAAAGCAGCTCGGCATTAACCTCATGCTAGAGCAATTTCCAAGCAGGTATGCCAGCGAAATAAAAACAGCAATTTGCAGCTAAATAAAAATAACAGTTAAGCATTTGAAACACAAATGCACCATTCAGGAGCAGCAGATAAATATTCAGACGCGTTCATTAGGAGGTTGAGGCTGTCTCTCAAATAAACAGACAGGTACAAAATAGCAGCCTGAATACTCCAATTACGCCAACATTGCATCAGTGCCGATGCTCCCGGCTCTGAGAGTGGGAGGGGGAGAAGGGGAGAGGGTGAGGAGGAGGAGGGCAGTGGGGAAAGCATGTGTGGGAAATATATATTTAAAATTTGCCTTAAATTTTGTTTTATGTAACCCATGTTTGGATTCTTTTCCACGGAGGGTTTAACTCCTGAGGATGGGAAGTTCTGCTGTGGCACTGTGCTCCTCGTGGCTCCTGCCATGGGCTTGCTTGGCCTGGCTCCCAGGGAAGACCCCCCAGACTGGGGAGAGCAGGGCTTGGCCCTAAACCCACCCTGCAGAGCCCCCGGGCAGGCAGACACGGCCCTGGATCAGCACAAAGCAAAACAGCGCCCGGCCCAAAAGCTACAAAGCCTTTGGAGCTCAAGTACTGCAGCTGATCGGAAAAACAACATCACAGCGCCCTCAGCCCCCGCCATCCCCTTTGTCCCCTGAGGGTCCCTGCCCCACGGCCTGGATGTGACATTGAGCAGAGGGCTGGGAGTGGCTGGTGCAGAGTTCTGGTGTGGGGCTGTGGGGATTTCAGGGACAATGGGGTGTCCACAACCCCAAGGACAGCTATACTTCTTGGAGTGACATGTCACCTGGGTGGGGACAGGAATTACCCTGCCTCATACACACTGCAGGGGGACACAGCATGAGCTCTTATGTGGGCCTGGGGATGCTCAGGGACAATGCGGTGTCCCCAGCCCCAAGAACAGCCACACTTCTGTGGGTGACTTGTCACTGTATGGGGACAGGAATTACCCTGCTTCGCAGCCTGCAGGGGGGACACAGCATGAGCCTTGGTGGGGGGCCATGGGGGTACTCAAGGACAATGGGGTGTCCCCAACCCCAAGGACAGCCACATGTCACCTGGGTAGGGACAGGAACCACCCTGCCTCACAAACAGCATGAGCCCTAGTGTGGATTCAAGGACGATGGGGTGCCCCCATCCCCAAGGACAGCCCCACTTTTGGGGTGCCATGTGTCACCTGGGGGAGTGGGGCAGACCACTCAGGATGGTGTAGCACTTCTCGCCATATACAAACTCTTATGCGGGCCGGAGGGGCTGCCCAGGAGTGTCCCCTCACCCTGGGGAC